GAGGGCAGGGAAGGAGGAAGGCGCTAGTATTAACACCCCCATTGTATTGACAGGGAAACTGAGGCCCTGAGGTGTCATGGGTCACTGTGCAAGGTTAAACAATGAGTTAAATGGCAGCACTGGACTCAAATCCAGGCCTTTGGTCTCCAAAGCACAAATAGATTCTGACTTTTCACCCCAAAGAGGCTCCATGGCCCTGAGAGTGGCAAGGTCCTTACCTGTCCTTTCTTCCTCATGCCACTCATCAAACATTTAGCAAGGGCCTCTTGTTCCCTCTGAGCCAGACCTCACTGAACCCTATGAATTCAGGGGTGACCAGGACTTGTCTGGCCTCTCGGAGCTGGGGAGGGAGATTGTTGGGCAACCCACACTGATGTTAGAGCACGGGAGGTAACTGTAGGATGCTGGCAAAGATGGGCACTTGGTGCAGCCTTGGGAGATCAGGGAGGGCTTCCTGGAGGAAGGGCTATGCAGGTGCCCCCGGAAGGAGCTGACCAGATGGATGGTGGGAAGTGTGCGTTAGGTGGAGGGAACAGCTGGGGCACAGGCTGGGTGGTAACAGTGCGGCCTGCCTGGGGGGCTCACAGCAGAGGGTTCCATTTTGCTGGAGGAGGGCAGGCCTGAGGGGCAGGGATGCCGCGGGTTGAACGGCGCCAGGGGGCTCACCTTCATCATGAGCACGATGGTGTTGAGGGCGATCATGGCCATGATGGTGTACTCGAAAGGCGGCGACACCACGAACTGCCACATGCGGTACTGGAAGCTCTGCTTGTTCTGGGGCATGTGCCGGGTGAGCGGCTTGGCGCTGATGGCGAAGTCGATGCAGGCCCTCTGCGGGGAGAGGCCGGAGGCGTGAGAGCAGGCGGAGCACAGCGCCGGACACTGCACACCCTCCCCGTAACTCGGCACGGCTCTCGGGTACACCTGCCCCCAGCCAGCACCCCTGGACTCCCGTCAGCTCCCACGACGGCTCTCCTCTCCCACCAGCCATGGCTCCCTGAGAAGCTGCCGTCTGCCGGAACTGGCACGGACACATCCCCTGTTATCTCATGGACTCCGCTTAGCAGACACGGGAAGCGGGTACTATTAATCGCTCCACTTTGCAGACGAGGAAAATAGAGGCTCAGAGAGGTTAAGCCACTTGCCTGAGGTGGCACAGTTGTAAACTGAACCAAACCCAAATGTAAGCTAAAGTTTCCCTTTGAAGTGAAACGGTTCTTTCCTACTGAACACGCTGCTTCTCCTCTCGCAGGCAGGTGGAGAGAGAGGAGTCATGGTCATGACGTCTTAGGTGTCAACAGAGTAGAGGAGGGACACATTCTAAATCCTCCACCTCGCCTGGATGATGCGAGGAGGACAAAGGACCATGTCTATCCACTCTGGTGTGCTGGGCCTTCATTCATAAATATTCACCACCTCTCCCTGGGGGACATTATACTTCCCCGCCCCTCTGACATCACACGTGGATGAGTGACTCACTCGGGCTAATGAAACGTGAGCAGAGGTGACTTGTGCCACTTTTGGGCCCAAGCCTCAAGAGTTGGATGATGGTTTGCTATACATACTCTCTTTTTTATTGGAAGCATCTTGGAGGGAACATGGATAATGATGACATGGAGCAGAGCCATTTGGACATGCAAAGTAAGCAAGAAATCACCCCCGTTATGGCTATCTGGCACTGAGATCTCAGGGATGCTTGTTACTGAACTGATTGATACATACACCTTCTGTCTGATGTATTTTCCTCTGAAAACCCCAGGAAGGGCTGCCCTGCAGACGGGGTTCTGCTGGAAGAATGCTGCGGTTCCCTCCCCACATGCCCCCAGAAGCTGGTTTCTGTGTCTATGTATGTATGTGGGGAGGTGCGGGTGGGGAGTGTCCATTTTTAAACGGGGGATGCAACTGGAAAGTGGCACCTCATTTTTCTCCAGGCTGTATTCCTCCATCATCTTGTCTCCCTGCTCCTGAAAGGTGATGATGATCAAGGCCACAAAGATATTGACGAAGAAGAAGGGGAACACGACAAAGTAGACGACGTAGAAGATGGACATCTCCATGCGGTACCCGGGGCTGGGACCCTGGTTCTCGAAGGTGGCATCCACGGAGTGCTTGAGAACCCTTGCGGGGGGAGGGGAGGTGGGGGCGAGTGGGACAAGGGAACAGGAATGGAGAGAAATAGTAAGAGAAAGTGGACAAGAAAGAAAAACAATCACTGTTTTCTGGCTCCAGTTACCATGGTTACTTTATGAAGCCATAGGCTTCCCACCTCCTTCGTCTGTGGGGAGTGTTAACAACCGTGCCGGTTACTTTTGCCACCATGCATGTCGAGCCTGTGATGTGCCAGAAGAGATGTTCAACGGTTTATTTATTTTCCCAGCAACCCTCTCAGGGAGGTTCTTACTGGCTTAAACGAAGGGCCGGCAATTTAAAGTGACCTGCCGAAGATCACCCACTCAGACGTGGCCGAGTTGGGATTTGAAACCAGGAGTGAGTAGGGGGCATGGAGGCAGGTGAGTGTGTGTGTGAGTGTGTGAGTGTGTGTGTGTGTGTGTGTGTGTGTGTGTGTGAGCACAGGAGGCGAGGAGCTGTGGAGGTGCAATGGGATGCACGGGCGAGGGTGCGCACAGCTGCTCTGCACGGAGCAGAGGCTGCGCACAGCTCAGGGCTCTGTATCAAGGGGTGCCGTTCGCACGGCAGACGTGATAGATCTGTGCATTCGCGATGACAGCTCTTGGGCAGGTAGCCATGAAGGGCCTTCTTGGAGCAAAGTCACTAAATACATTGCAAACGGTTTTCTGACAGATGGGAGTGCAGTCTGTGGAGGAAGGGGCATCTTTAAATATTTCGCCCAAAGGTGCCTCCTGGGCTAGCACTGGCCCACGTGTGTGGGTGCCGAGTGTGTGCGTGGGGGAGCAGAGACGTGCGGGTTGGCATGGCTGCTGAGAGGAGGTAGGTGAGGGTGCTGAGGGCACACGCTGGCATCTCCGGCCTCCACCCGGCGCTTCTGAGATCTCGGTGGGGGTGGGCGGGGAAGCTGGACGAGGGAGGACAGCGAGGCGCTTGCCGTGGGCACAAATAAGGGAGCGCCAACATCCTCCATAACCAAGATAAGTGGTATTTCACTCCGATATTTTAATACGTCCGAACGAACGCTCCAGAGCCCACGATGAACAACACCCAGATTGTACATGAAGACAGGCTCTGGCCCGCACGTGCGGTTCGGCCTTGCTGTCTCACCAGGCCCGGCCCCTCGGAGGGAAGGGCCCCGCGGTCAGGCCTGGACCGTGCCCGGTCCACAGCCCGTCTCAGAGCTTTGCGTTCACCAGCACAGAGAGGGTGGAGAGGGCGTGACTGCCTGCGTACAGGAGCCTTTGCCCGTCTGGGAGGTTTTGGGGATGCAGCCCCTACGCTCAGGCTGGCGAGCTAAGTGAGGGCTGGACTTCTGCCCCTAGAAGCCCAACCACACGTGGAGGTCAATGTGCTGGTGACAGCCCCCTCCCCCCCGCCCCGGGCATCTAGCAGGCTCCCCATCTCGGGGAGTCAGGAGCAAACCGCCCCTCCCAGATCTTTCTCAGCCCTGGGCTCTCAGACCCTCTCCTCTCCTGCCCCCCCGGGCCCAAGCTCCGCCTGCGGGCTCTCGGGCCAGGCGCTTACTGTGGCCAGCCTTCTCCCGTGGACACGGTGAAGAGGGTCAGCAGAGCCCACAGCACGTTGTCGTAATGGAACTCATACTTCTTCCACTCTCGGTCCCGGGCCTTCACCTCGTTCTTCTCATACAGCAGGTACTTGCCACTGACGCAGAAAACGGGCCGTTAGCGAGAGGAAGGGTAAGAGGGGCCCCTGCCCACGCTGCCTCTCCCTCAGCCCGGAGGCAGCGACACCCCCTCTGGCTCCCTAGGGGGTGTGTGCCCTTGGAGACCAGCCCACGATGATGCCGATGCCGTGACCCTGTGACCTGCGGGAGAGCCGACGGAGTCTAGCGCTCTCTTCCAGCTCGGAAACTCTCGTGTCTCAGATTTGGGGGGTTCAGAGCAGGGAGAGGGACAGGCACAGTTCTGGGCCCATCAGGCCGGCGGGGGTGGTGGCTGCTCCTTTTCGGGGCAGGAGTCAGGGCTGAGCTCCAGACTCCTAGCCAAATGCCGGGATCCTTCCAGCTCCGGGAAACAGCCACCAACACAACAGCATCTGCCAGCAGCAGCGGCAGCACTCAGGGTGCTTGTTAATGAGGCGCCGCTCTCCTGAGCTCCCTCCCCACCGTGAGGCCCACAATCCCTCACCCACAGTCCCCACAGCCAGGAAGTTCTGGAAACCAAAGCCCTGCTCCTAACTCAGGGGTGGGCACGTTACGGCCCCGGGACCAAATCTGGACCAGTTTCTGTACGGCCCACAAGCTAAGAAGAGCGTTTTTTTGTTTTTTACCTTTTTAAATGGTTGAAAACAAATCATTCCTGACACGTAAAAATTATACAAAATTCAAATTTTAGTGCCCTAGCTGGTTTGGCTCAGTGGATAGAACGTTGGCCTGCGGACTGAAGGGTCCCGGGTTTGATTCCGGTCAAGGGCATGTACCTTGGTTGCGGGCACATCCCCAGTGGGGAGTGTGCAGGAGGCAGCTGATCCATGATTCTCTCTCATCATTGGTGTTTCTATCTCTCTCTCCCTCTCCCTTTCTTTCTGAAATCAATAAAAATAAATAAGAAAATTATTGCCCTAACTGGTTTGGCTCAGTGGATAGAGATTTTAAAAAAAAGAGAAATTACTAAAAAAAAAATTCGAATGTTAGTTTCCAGAGATAAAGTTTTACCAGAACACGGCCACACCCATTCGTTTCCCTGCTGTCACTGCTTCTGGCTGCACGGAGCCCTCGAGACGGAGACGGGACCCCAACCGCCTCTCCTGCCCGGCCCTTGACAAGGGCGCCCCACCCCGATCTCACTCTCTGACCCAACCGGATGCGAGGCTCTGGATACTTGTTATTTATCCCAATTGGTGCGAATAGGTACACATTTCCGGACAGAAACACTGTTTGAGAACAGGGCTGCTCTGGCCCAGCGGAGGGTGCTAGGCCTGTGCGGACATGCTCTAGGCAACCTTTCTGAAACCTCCAATCAAAACATTCTGATCTGAAGCGCATCTGCCTGTCAAAGCTTCAAATAAGGGAACGTGGACGTGTATTACTATCCCCACGTGACAAAGCTGGTGGCTAGAAAGTTAAGCAGCTGGTTTATGGCGCATCCCAGAGGGACAGACAGAGACTTAAATTCCAGAACCGTTTTTCTCTACCCAGACCCCGGCGGCTTCAATCAGGCCCCTCCCCCCATGCCCAGCACCTGCCTCTGCT